TGGAAGATCTGTGGGGGCACGAACTTGCCTCGTACACAATTAGTGCTCAATAAGCAATCACTAAATCACTGTATGAAAGCCTTAGGCAAGTGGCCGCAGGTGCCAGGCCTCAGTGTATTCATTTCTTGGGGCAGGAAAGTGGGTCAGAGGGGAAGGCTTGCTCAGCTTGTTCAGGCCTAGGACCTCTGCCTCTCCTCCCTGCTGGCCGGCAGAACCTCTTCCCCTTATTCTCTCACCCTCTCTGGCGATAGGAGTGAGCGAGAACTTTACAGAGGCACAAGAGAGTCCCCGAAGTATTGTAAGAGGCACTGATGACACAAATTGCTATGGAGGAAAAAAGTCACCCCTGAAAAACTTACCTAAAAATATATCATGAGGTGGGCTATTTGGGGACTCAAATTACACAGGAGGGCTTGGGAAAATAGACGTGTGCGGGGACGAACACAGCCGCAATTAACGTTAACTATAAGGTGTCATATCTTCATCCTGAGCACACACAGCCCGAGGTGTGCAGCGGCAGGCAAGAGGGAGGTGAATTGGAGCCAAGTACCCACAAGGGCACAGTGGGTGTCTGCCCGAGCTAGGAAAGGGAGCTGAGTGGGAGGTGCATCGCTGGAGGAGGCAGGATTTCTCAGGAAGGTGGCAGTCACCTTGGGCAAGGCTGCCTCTGAAGTTGGAAATGCAACCATGCATAACCAAGCCCCACCTAGCTCAGGGAAACTCCAGATCCAGGGCCAGAAGGCCCAGTAGAGGACCAGGGGCTTTCCTAGGGGCCCAGCGCCCCACAGATGTCCCTGGATGAGAAGATACACAGCTTGATCTGTAGGGCCGGCACCTAAAAGAAAGCACTTTCCCTGGGAGTAAGGCTTTTTAAAAACCTCAAGAGCAATGCACAGAGTGCTTAGGTGTGGGTAGGGTGGAGGGCCTGGGGACCAGGCTGTGTGGATATGTACCCCAGCATTTCCAATGCACAGCTGACAAACTTGAATGGGACATCTCCTCGAGCCACAGTTTATTCATCTGTGACACCCAACAGTGATCCCTTTCACAGTCTACTTCAGCAGATTCAGGTGGAGGGGACAAATCAAATTAGATAACTGTACATTAAAATGCCTCCATAGCCTGCAACCTCTCTGTGAATGCCATTGTATCACTTAGCACCCTGCCTTGTAAAGACTGCTGTGAGAATTTGACTCCCAGCTAAACTAAGGGACCCACCAGGGCAGCTAGTTATTATGTCCAACTCCTCTCTCTCTCTCTCTTTTTTTATTATTCTCAGTGTCAAGCATGTTATCTAGTACACATTAACTGCTCAAAAACGTTGGTTGAATAAATAAAGTCATTGGTATGTTAAGGTGAATATTACAAAAAGACCACAGTGTGTTTCATCTCAGATCTAGGAAAGACCTTTTCCAATATCAACTGTTTATTACTAAAATTTTCTGCTCTGCTTCTAACCTTCCATCCAATCGCAACTCACATCACATAACATCTGTGCTCCGTGAGAGCAAAAATCATCTCTTACTCATTCTATTTCAATGGAAGCTCTCTAGGTGGGCAAGGACTCGGTTTTGCTCAGAGCTGCATCCCTGGCACCTAGAACAGGGCCTTGTGCTCAGTGAGGCTCCATAAGGATCTGGGAAATGAAGGAATGGTTTCCAACCCTTAGCACGATGCTAGGAATTCAGCAAATACTTGTCGAATGAATTATTAAACAAGGGGAACACTTTCTCTTTTTAAGGTCCCTTTCTAACATTCCCAACTGAGTCAGTATAGCAAAGTGGGTGCGTAGGGAGGCTCTGGAGTCAAATGGGCTGGGTTTGGATTTTGACTCTTTTACTTACTAGCTGGGTGACCTAGAGTGAGCTACTGAGCCTCCCTGTGCTTCAGTTTTCTCACCTGTGAAATGGGGATAACAGTTTTTCTAATAGGATTACAGAGTTCATTTAAATGTACATGAAATATTGAGCACAGTGCCTGGTACACAGTAATTGCTGCTATTTTGGAATAAGATCTAAAGTCAAGGTCCCCACAATTTGGCCCGATGTCCCTCTCTTTCCAGTCCCATCTTCCCACACTTTAACGCTAGCAACCCTTTACTGGCTACACCTGTGCCAGCCATGCACTAAGTGGTGTACAGCCTTTAACTTATTTTCCTTCTCAAACAACCCAGTGAGGTAGGGCCTATTATTGCCCATATTTCACTGATGAGAAGACCAAGGCCCAGAAAGGAGAAATAACTTTCCCGGGGATACATAGCTAATACCAGGAAAGCTGGATTTCATCCCAGGACTCTCTGACATGGAAGTTCACGCTGTCATTGACCCGTCTCAGAAATCCCTGCCGTGCTGCGTTCTGTTGTAGGTGGAGCAGCACTGCTAGCATTACCGGGGAGCTTGTTAGAAATGCAGAATCTCAGGCTTCACCCTAGAGCTCCTGAATCAGAATCTTCATTTCAGCCAGGCTTGGTGGCTCACACCTGTAATCCTAGCACTCTGGGAGGCCAAGGTGGGAGGATTGCTCAAGGTCGGGAGTTCAAGACTAGCCTGAGCAAGAGTGAGACCCCGTCTCTACTAAAAATAGAAACAAATTAATTGGCCAACTAAAAATATATACAAAAAATTAGCTGGGCGCGGTGGTGTGTGCCTGTAGTCTCAGCTACTTGGGAGGCTGAGGCAGAAGGATCGCATGAGCCCAGGAGTTTGAGGTTGCTGTGAGCTAGGCTGACGCCATGGCACTCTAGCCCGGGCAACAGAGCGAGACTCTGCCACAAAAAAAAAAAAAAAAAAAAAAAGAATCTGCATTTCAGCACCCTCCCCCACACATTTACTAGGCACAGTAAAGTTTTAGAAGCACTGTTGTGCTTTCTATCACTTAGACCCAAGTGCTAATTAACTAAAAAAATGTGATCTCATTTTAATCCCTACAACAATTTGGAAGGCCAGGAAAGGTCAGCATTATTATCCCATTTTACAGATGAGGACACTAAGGTTCCAAGAATCTTAGACTGAACCCATGTGAGCCTGATGCCAGCATGATGCTCTGACTGTACCCAAACTCCTCTCCCTTCACCTGAATGTCTTCATACCTCTCTCTTTGAATTCTTCTCATCTTCTTAGGCTCCACTCAAAATCCCTTCCCACTAGGCAAAGCCATATCCCACTGGGCAGATTAATTGCTTCTTCCTTCATAGTGCCCATAAACTCCCTGCACATACCTTTCTCTCTCTCTTTTCTTTCTCTAATTTTTTTCTTTAAGAAATACATATTAAACACAAATTGTGTATCAGGCACATTGAACACAAATTGTGTATCAGGCACATAGTAGGCATTGATTAAATGTCTGTGGAAACAATTTGCTCCCAAAGCATTTCTGACTGTGTTTATTAAAGCACTTTCATCACACTTCTGTTACTCTTCTCTGCGTTTGATTGTCCCTCCCACTGCCCTGAGCTCCTCTGTGTGCCCAGGGCACAGAGTCTGGCATCTTATAGGGTCTCAAGTCATTAGGTAACAAACTAAATGCTCTCCCACCTAAAGATATAATTTGTCTATGGGTACTTAAGAGTGGGTGCTTAAGAGTATGACCAGGAGTGAAACCTTCCAATTCCCAAGATGGGCAAAGGACAAGTGAGGACACATGGCTGCTCACCACCCCCAGTCTTTGGGCACAGGATGCCAGAACCGATGATGGTCACAAAATTTGCAGGTATTTGAAAAATCTAAGCCTTTTTCCAGACCATCAAAGGAAGGCCTTAGAAATGGTAAGCAACCTCTTCAAATCCCCTAGAGTTAAAACCAGGTCCCCAATAACCTGTCATTTCGCAAGAAAAAGAAAAAAGGCAAAGGTGGCTATGATGTAGAGGGAAGACCTCCGAGATGCAGAGAACCTAGCAGTTCCCACGATCTGCCTCTCCTTTGCAGGAGACCCCAGCAAAGCACGTTTCTAGGCCTCAATTTCCTCATCTGTAAAATGAGGGGGTTGAACTAATTTAAAAGCTCCTTCCAGCTCTAAGACGCTGCGCTATAAAATGAGAGAAATGTGAACCTTTGGTTGCTATGATCTGAAAATATTTTGAATGTGGAGAATCAAATTGTACAGCAGTGCATGAACAAAATAATATGGTAATGACTAAGAAGACTGTATTTAATCCAATGGGAAACAGCAGAACTGCTGCTGTGTGTGTGTGTGTGTGTGTGTGTGTGTGTGCACGCGCGCGCACATGTGGCTTCCCTTCCTTGAGCTCAAACATATATTTTGATTCACTAATATAGTAATCAGGCCTCTGGCAGCCTATCTTACCCAAACACACACACACATACACACAGCCCACTTCAAATAAAAATGGGGGGGGGGTGGATTCCACTGCTGCTGCTTACATCCCTTCTGTGTTTGGATGGATTTTTTAAAGACATTTTTATCGTGAAGGTGTTGGATTGACAGCCCCTGGAGGCCTCTGATCTCAGAACTGGGTCTCGTGGGAGGGAGCCGGCGATCTCATTAGCATTCCGCCTTGCACGCCAACTGCCCCCTCCTCAGCCGTCACAATCCTGTCCAGCAGCGGGGCTGGACCCTCAACTAGGGAGGGGTCAGATCGGCGGCCCCAGGGGCGCCCGGCCAGAACACGTGCTCCGGGCCCTACCTGCTCCGACAATGAAGGCCCACGGCGCCGCGTCCGGCGCGGCTGGCGGCAGCAAAGGTCAGGTCGCCGACCTTGGCCCCACGCGAGAGTCGGGGCCGGGAGGCAGACGTGGGCCAGAGGCGGCACGCGGGCCTGACCACCCCGGGCTCCGAGTCAGTCTGCGCTCTGGGGCTCCCGACCCGCGCGGCCCCGCAGGCCGACGCCAGACCGCGGCCTTGGGGAAGGCCCCAGGCCCGGCGAGGCTGCAGGGCGGCGGCGCGGCGGCCCCTCCCGCCCGACGCCGCGCCGCGCTCCGGCCGCGCGGATTGGCGGCCCGCGCCGGCGGCGGGCGGAGGCCGACCCGCGGCCAGGTGAGGCGCCCCGCCCCTCGGCGGCGCCAGGTGCGGCGGCGGGAGCTCGGGCCGCGGCGGGCCGGGGCGCCATGGCCGAGTCCCAGCTGAGCTGCCTGGACGAGGCGCACGTGAACGAGAGGGTGACCGAGGCGCAGGCCGCCTTCTACTACTGCGAGCGGCGGCGGGCCGCGCTGGAGGCGCTGCTGGGCGGCGGCGAGCAGGCCTACCACGAGCGGGTCTCGAAGGACGGGCTGCGGGGCTTCCTCTCCAGCCGGGAGCGCCAGGACCTCCGCGCCGCCTGGAGCCCCTACGAGGACGCCGCCCTCGCCGCTGCCCGGGGCAAGAGCAAGGGCAAGGCCAAGGACAAGGCCCCCGCGCAACCCCGGGACGAGCCCGGCGAGTCCCTGGCCTACTGGCCCGACCGTTCGGACACCGAGGTGCCCCCTCTGGACCTGGGCTGGACGGACACCGGTTTCTACCGCGGCGTGAGCCGCGTCACCCTCTTCACCCACCCCCCCAAGGAGGAGAAGGCGCCGCACCTCAAGGAGGTGGTCAGGCAGATGATCCAACAGGCCCAGAAGGTAGGCCCTGCCCCGGCCCCCCACACCGGGGGGACCCCAACACCGGTCCCTTGTACCAGGCCCCACCTCCGAGGCAGGGCCTGGAGCAGGCCGCCCGCTGTGCAGTGGGCCCCAACCCGCCCTCCCGGGGCTCTGGGGAGGCCTCTGTGTAGGGAGGATGGACGTGAACGTGTTTAGCAAACTAGAAGGTGCTGGACAGATGTCAGTCGTCGTTATTACAGTGTCCAGAGGCGCTGGCTTTGCTCTGTACTTCTGAAATTAACTTGTCGTGTCCCTCTCCCTAGGGAAGAGTGGCTGCCATGAAGGAAAATGTGGGAAAAGGGCCACTCAAAGGTCTTGACAATAACCCATCTGCTGCCCAGGGACTTACAGAACATATCCCTTACCATTTTCTCATGTTATCTTCAAAACTACTCCAGGAAGTGGCCAGTGGTGACCTCCCCACCCCCAACCAGCCATGTTGCTCTTGGGAGCAACCCCACGCACAGTCAAAGCTGGCCTGTCCCCCTCCCTTTCACACCCTCTCCTGGGACCAGTACTAGAGCTCAAGCAGCCTGGAATGAATGAGGGGATGTATTTTGAGCACCTACTATGTCCTTGGCCCTGTCCTGGAGACTTTGGCAAGGCAAGTCACTGGACTCAGCGTCACCCCGGGGGAAAGCTCCTACTTAGCACATCTGCTCTGCTGGGGAGCTGGGAGGAAGAGTGTTTCCAGAGTGGCTGCTTAAGAATACTGGTGGGGCCAGTAGGTTGTGGAGCAAGGGAACGACTTTAATCTTCACTCCATGCCTTTGGGTAGGACTACCTGGGTAGCTTCCAAGTAAAATACAGGATGCTCCGTTAAATTTGAACTTCAAATAAATAGCACATAACTTTTGAGTATCAATTTATCCCAAATATTACTGATACTGACATTGATACTGAAAAGTTATTCATTGCTTATCTGAAATTCAAATTGAATGGGGCAGTCTGTATTTTTATTTGCTAAATCTGGCTTCCCTACCCTGAGATTTGTTAAGAAACACCAGCAGCTGTTGGTGCATAATTCAGAATACACAACAGGAGTGGCTTGGGTTCAGCGTGCTAATTCCACTCAGTGAGTGTGGTTGAAATTTTATTTTCCCTGGACACTGATCAGGAAGCCAGAGGCCTGAGAAGGAAAAAGTAAGCTAGAAAGACCAGTGGCAGGGCTCCTCTTCCTGGAGGGTTGATCTAAGTAGTTGGCTAGACTGGCTTCCAGAAGGAAGAGTTAACTTTTCATTGTCCATGTTTCCGCCCTCCTTTTCTAAATAATTCCTCTTTGTCTGACTGAGCTTTCTTTATATATTGCATTCTGCAGAAGAAAAAGGCAAGATTGAACACAGAGGAGGGATAAGGGAAGTGAGCAGCAATACTGGGCAGCAGGCTGCAGCTGGGGTCAAAGGTCAAGGCTCATGATGTAACACTAACAAAGCCTCTATTTAGCACTTAATGTGTGCCAGCCTCTGTGCATTTTCTCATTTGCTTTTCACAACGACTGGGTGAGATATGTATTCTCCTTATTTTTGGAGAAAAAGAAATCAGGATTCAGAACAGTTAAGTTTCTTGCTGGAGGTCCCATAGCTAGTAAGTGGCTGAGCCAGGCTCCAAACACCAAAGCCTTTGCTCTTAACCACCGTGCTACCCTGCGCCACTGTCTGAATAATGGTGCAGTAAGATTAAGCAAGGAGTTTGAATGGAGCTAAGCTGGTCACAACATGGGGTACAGGCTGTGTACCCCTGTTACAAGAAGGGAGGGACAGGGCCCCTGGCCACCGAAGCTTCTAGTCCTGCATAGTGGGATGTTCTTAACTTTTTAAATATTTAACAAAAACTTTAACAATTGTGAACCAATCCAATATGTACAGATTCAATCAGTAGCTATTTCCTGTGTGCCTACCATGTGCCAGGCACTAGCCATAAAGAAAATACAAGCTGTAACCTTGTAAGAGTTTACTCAAATGCTGGGGTTCTGCTACAAGGGATAGAGTTTGAGGCTGGATGTGCCCAAGCTGGGAAGGCTCCCTGGGGGAGATGAGTTGCAGAGTTGGAAGGGGAGAAGGAAGTAAACTGGAACGGGCAGTTTCTCAGTAAGACTCCAGAGCAGGAATGAGAGATTTTCCCTTGAAAAAAGCAAGGCAGTTTGATCGGCAGGAAAAAAAGAGCCGTCATGGTGGAAGCTTAGTGCTGTGTGAGGCCTGGAGTAGGGACCTTAAAACTGGGCCCAAGATAGGTGACTGCCGCCCTGGGAGCACCAGCTTCTGACCGTGTCTGTGCCCACTCAACTCCCAGGCTCTCTGGGCCCCCACCCTTAATCACTGTCCCTCCTGTCTATATAGCCACTTCTTCTCAAACACTCTGTGAAGTAGGTAGGACAGAGAGGTCGACCCTGTCTCACAGGTGAGGAAACTGAGGCACAGACAAGGAAAGGGGCCTGCCCGTAGGTCATGTGGCTGGTTATGAAAGAACCCCAGTCCCTAGCTTCTGCTCTAAAGGTTGCACCATCTTACACCTGCCTGTCCCCCACCCCCACACCAGCTTGTCCAGCTGGCAAGGAACCTTCCATGGCCATTAAACTAGATCCTTCCTTCTTCCTTTTCACCCTGAGGGAGGGAGTTTCCTTTGTTTCCAGTGAGAGTCTGAGTGCCCAGAAGCCGGGTGGGGCAGGCTGAGATGGTTTATGTGCAGAGACACGGGTAACATGGAGGGCCAGCAGAAGGACATGCTCACGTCCAATTTGCACCGGAGAGTTTTGTATTTTATTTCATTTAATCCTCAGAATAACCTTGTAAGGTGCTATCGTTTGTTTTTTTTCCCAAATGACAAATAGGAAACTAAGGAGTTGCCATGACTTGCCCATGGTCACAGGCCAGTGAGGAATTCTGTATCTGGTCTTCAGGGATATGGAGAAAGGAGCCTAGTGAGGGGACACTTTGAAAATATGGTTGGGAAGGAGTGGCAGAGGGCGGTGGCCAGTGGGGAAGCAGCCCAGCAGGTGTGGGGTGGGGCCATGTGGAATGGGAGGAAGGCCTTTGAAGTCAGCCTAAGCCCTCTGCTCCCTGGGCCTCTGCGGAAAGCCCTTCCTAAGCTGCGCTGGGCTACCACATTCAAACAAAGGGCTATTTACTTGTGGGGTGGGTTTTTTCCTGCTGTATTTTTTTCCCCCATGAGTAATCTGCTTATGATGTACTTTGCTTAAACCACAGGCAGAAAGGGTACCTTTAGGGACTCAGAAATGAGCCCTGGCCAGTGCCATGCTAGCAGAGAATACCAGAAGCAGTCGCTGCTGCGTAGGCTGTTCAGATCATTGTAACTGCCGGGGAGTGGACTCCGGCAGGACTGTGCACAGACAGGGCAACTCTGGGTTGTCACTCGCAAAGCCGGAGTAAGAGAAGCAGACAATTGCAATCTGGGTGGGTGGTCAACTTGGAAGGATTATGCATCCATTTGGTCATAGGACAAATATTCGGAGGTCTACTGTGTATTAAGCATACATTAGTGGAAAACACGTAAAACACTCCTCTGCTCTTAAATAGCCTAATCTTCCACTGATCCATCATCCTAATATAGTATGAGGAGTGCTTGGCAGGGACGTGGCAGGAAGGGTACTAGCCCAGCCCCTGCACCGGGTTAAGGAGGCCCTCTGATGCTGAGGAGCTGTCTACGGCACGTCCGAATGCAGCAGGAAGGATGAGGTGGTGCTTAGCCGTCCACCCAGGCTCCCTTGTGACGGGCTGCATCCATTTTTGAGGCTGCTGGACAGGTTTGGAGAATACTGCCTTATGCTACAGAAACAGAGGAAAACGCACTAACCCCTACCTTGAAGATTGACCTTGACCCTGCATTCTTAGGCCCTCCCCCCAAATGCACCAGCTACCCAATTCTTCTCAATTTAACACATACTGCCCTGTTTCCTTGGAGCCTCAATAACTGTGTAAGGCAGGGTGCTGTCTTCATTGCATAGAGGATCCCTCTGAGGTCCAAAGAGGTGAAATGATTTGTCTTTAGACCAAGGACAAGGAATTACACAGCATCCCCAGGCCCTCGGTCAGGAATACCAATGGCCCCACGAAGATTATAAACATAACCCAGAAGAGGGAGGCCACTGGAATAGGTAACTGTGATTAACTAGGAACTGCTCCTCTCATTCCTGTTGTAATTAGTGGAATAGTCCTGCCAGGTGGATTGAGGAGCGAGGAGTGGGTAACCAGGCTAGTCCTACCCCGTCTCTGCCTGTTGATGGGTTTGTCCCCCTTCCTGCAAGGCCTGGCTGAAAGGCCGCCTCTTCCTTGGCATTCTGTCAAATTTTCAATGCAAAAGTTCCGCACAGCTGTCTGCGGGAGAGCCCATCCTATCCTGCCGGCCTGGGTGCTTTAGAAGAGCAGGGACTCTGTCTCAATCCCTCAGTCTCCTTTGCAGGACCCCAGTGGTGCCCTGACTGTCAGAGGTGGTCAACGATCTGTTTAAAGAATTGAAAACTAGGTCGGCCATGGTGGCTCACGCCTTTAATCCTAGCACTCTGGGAGGCCGAGGCAGGCGGATTGCTGGAGGTCAGGAGTTCAAAACCAGCCTGAGCAAGAGCGAGACCCTGTCTCTACTATAAATAGAAAGAAATTAATTGGCCAACTAATATATATAGAAAAAATTAGCCGGGCATGGTGGTGCATGCCTGTAGTCCAGCTACTCGGGAGGCTGAGGCAGCAGGATTGCTTGAGCCCAGGAGTTTGAGGTTGCTATGAGCTAGGCTGACGCCACGGCACGCACTCTAGCCTGGGCAAAAAAAAATTTAAAAAATTAAAAATTAAGAATTGAAAACTGTCTTCTATTGGCCACCTGTCCCTCTAGGGAAGTGTCTGGAGACATCCACGTTGACTCACACATTACTCGGGACTCCTTTAATCCTCATTGAAACAAGCTGTCTGGCAGCAGACAGAAGAATACTCTAAATTAGAGCGGTGGGGGGACAGGGAAAAGGGTGGGTC